TCTTCTAATCATGTCAACACAATGAAGAAAATACAGCATTATGAGCACCAGAGGGAGCTACGAAATGCACTTATTTCCCATGATGCTCAGCAACATCTAGAGGCCATAACATGTTTTTTCTCCTCTTCATACTGTTTTTTTTACAATGAATAACATTCAATCTGTAGGGAACATATTGAAAAAAACATAAAAATGGCTCGGACCTGCTGATCGCCTGTGCCCAATCACAGCCGAGAGCCCTGTGTTGACAATCAACACAGGGCTCTGTACAAAGCCCTATGTTGACAATCAACATAGGGAGAAGAAATAAAGAGATATTTAGTAAAAAGCAGCACACATCACATAAATTAACAAAAGTTAGGCCCACTTTTAACCCCTTGATTAAACGCAATGTTAACCCCTTCCCACTCAGTCATTAGTACAGTGACAGCATACGGTATTATCACTGTTTTAGTGTCACTGGTGGTGTCAGTGTTTTTTTCCCACCCAGTGTCAGTTAGTATCGGATTGCCTGCCACACTATCACAGTCCCACTATAACTTTCACACAGGCCAATTAATATACACTAATTATGATTTTGTTTTTACCAAAGACATGTAGCAGAATACATTTTGGCCTAAATTTATGAATTTTGTTATTTTTTAAAATTTTTTATTGGATATGTTTTATAGCAGAAAGTAAAAAATACAAACTTTTTTTCATTTACAATATGTTATTAAAAAAAGGGAAAAATTAGGGAAACAAACAGGTTCTTAGGTGTAAACCCATGACTACTTAAGGGTAGGCCCCCTGTGGCAGATATTCAATGGAGTGTTTCTACAATAGAGTTAGGAGACCAAATCAGATTCGAGCAGTGTGTAAGTGCCATCCCTATATTATATGCATAGTGTCATAGGTGTGCAAAAAATAGGTCATATCAGAAAAAAATGTATAATGAGCCCCTGTGTCCCCAGCATAGAGTTCCTCCAAAATATACTGAGTTTGAATATGGCGTCCTGAGCCAACGCCCCACCCCCCACGTGTTTCCACCCCAGCTAAAGGGAAAACACAATGGGCAGACTAAATTTTGGGTTTTGTTTTACATATCCAATGGTGTTCCACATCAAAGTTCTGGGATATACTGAGTCCTATAAGCCAGTTACACTATATTAAAATGGTTGTAAACCCTTACATATACCCAGTGAAGTAACTGGCCTCAGGTGATATACAGAGAGGGAACAAATCCTCCTACATAGGTTGTACCTGGTTATCTGCAGTCATCTCTTCTCTACACCCACTCAAAGTGCTGAAATTTAAAGCTTGTCTGAGAGCTTCTCAAAAAAGGGGGTGGAGAGCTGAAGTTACACTCTGCAGAGCTCAGTGAGGAGAGCTCTGAGAGCTGATTGGAGGGAAGGGACCCCCCCTCCACTCAGGAACAGAACTGAGGCTGTCAATCTGCTGGTGGTCTTTCCCCTGTCACCTGCTTTCCCTTAGTGTTAGGAACACTTGTCAGAAGTGACTCATGCTGATAGCAGAGGAACAAAGCAGCAGACAGAAATGGCACTTAGTGCTCCTAATTGAGACAACTACACACTATAGAGAGATATGCTTTGTTCATATTTCATGTCTGAAGTTTACAACCACTTTAAGTGTTGTAGAAAACTATTAATATGTGACATTATATGTACTTTTCTGCTGTCTTTTGTTCTAGAACACCCCCAGAAGTAGCACTTATGTAAAATGTGTTGAGATATAGAATCTCTCTCACCGTCAGGACAAAATTATGAACATTCAAAAAGTTTTGATATCAACCGTGTTTATAACAAAGACATTTAACCAATGCTTCTATGAATAATGCTATACCCTCTCCTTCCACTGCCTAACCTTAGGCTTCACCAATAATTTACTCTCAATTTTTCCTGCGATCATTCAAACCACAATGTTTGTCATGACAGGTATTATACTACTGCACAGTAATACACTGTATATGTGTGTTGGGGTGCATTGCTGCTGATTATTTGAACCCCAATGCACTTACACAGCACACTGCAATATAGATATGCTACAGTGTACCACAGTAAACAGATGTAAATGTCCTGTATGCTGCGATGTGATGCGTTTTGAAAAAAAAAAAGAACTGGATCTTGCATTAAGGTGCATTCACAGCCTAATTAAAACAAATAGGCTTCCTAACGCCACACACACCTCATGGTATGAAAATATACATAGATTGAAGAGCCCTGTATTTAAAGTGTTACTAAACCCAGGACCCTGCATTCACTATATCTAGTCTCCCACAGTACACAGAACATGGAAGTACAATTATTTTAGTAAATATAAACTACTAAATACCTTTTCTCATCAGCAGTTAGAGCAATCTTGTGATTTCTATCAGTGTCCAGCAGAGCACTGGTTAAAGCTTGCAGGAGGAGTTTTCCTTTTGCTCTAGGAGGATGCAGAACCCCTGACTTCTGTCTGGACAGTGCTGATTGGCCCTGTGCTGATCACCTGCACTCTCCCAAGAAAACAAAACCCTCTCTAGCAATACAATACACACCAAACAATTCACACCAAACTGAGCATGTGCAGAGTGACTCCACACAATATGTCAGGAGATAAGAGGGGAACACTGGAAGAAGGGGAGGATCAGAGAAGACAGGATCAAACAGCCTTTTTACACAGTGCAGAGGATTAACCCTTTAGGTACCACAGTGAGTATAACAAGCATGCATTATGCATATACAAATTGATTTTACTGTTGTGGGTTTAGTAATACTTTAAGTGTAAATGTGTCCTATATTCCCTGGTCCTTCCCCTGTTTCCCTGATAATCATGTCTTTTTTTATATTTGATGTAAAATCCCTCTTAGATTGTAAACTCCAAGGAGCAGGGCCCTCCTAACCCTCTTGTATTGAACTGTATTGTCTCCTGTTATATTGTAAAGCGCAGAGCAAACTGTTGGCACTATATAAATCCTGTAGAATAATAATAATAATAGTAATAGTATAAAATTGCATATGCAGTTTTCTTGTGTCTCTTTATATGAATTGCCTGTAATTTCCTATACATTTTGCTTCATATTTTATTTGTAAGCAGACATATACAGTGTAATCTAATTTTTTTAATGCAACTTGTGACCATTGTATTTGGATTTTGATGTTTCTGACAATTGATATCATCCTCCCCTATAAATCCCCAGTCTGATTCATAATGTATGTTCTGTACAGACTTCAGTAGGGACTAGGGTGTCACAAAGCATGTCATTAGCAGATTAATAAAGCTTTTTTCTATTTCATATCCTGCTGAGAGGATGAGAGGCAGGCAAACCTTTGTTATATTATCTAAGGTATAGGCTAAAAGAACAAGGAACAGAACTGCGCGGTTTGATGCTACAGAAGCTGAATACAACTTTGTAAAGTCTTTTACTGAATACCATTTGAAGCTCACGCTGGTATGGTATGATGAGGTCCATGCTTGGGTGTTTATATTAAAGCAGATGTAAACTCAATCGCTAAATTCTCATATAATCTTTAACCTGTTATTGTGATTTCAAAATCCATCTTTAATCTTTTTAAATCTAAATCTTTCAACAAAGATAATACATGGTTATTCTGCCATGAAGGCCCATGTTCAGGCAGTTCCAGTTAGATGGTGAAAATGCTCTTAGATTGTAAGCTCCAAGAAAATTCAGCATTAGCGGGATTTGCCCTGGCACCTACCAACACCTGCGTTTAGCCCCTACGCTTACCCCCCTCCCTTTTCCCCCCAGCAAGTGCAGTGTCAGTAGGTCACTGTCATTTGATACATTGCACACAAAACCGCAGTGTTTCCAGAATCAGGCCTGATCTCTGTTAGCACTTGTCGGTAAATTTTGAGGACTCTCATATGCAGCAGAGTGCCAGTACTAGTGCCGCGCTACCTTTTGGTGAACTGGCGAGTACTAGTGGCCTAGTACATCCTGGTCTTTCACATACCTCTTAGATTGTAAACTCCTAAGATCAGGGCCCTCCTAACCCTCTAGTATTGAACTGTATTGTTGCTGTATTGTCTCTCGTTATATTGTAAAGCGCTGAGCAAACTGTTGGTACTATATAAATCCTGTATAATAATAATAATAATAATGTTCTGTCCCTGTCACAATATTGTTCTCCTGTATTGCAATCCTTTTACACGTGGTGCTCATTGCACAGGTGTGTTCTGACCTTCATAAAGGTCACCCTGGAGAGCATGCATACAGACAGAAAGGCCTCACGCACAATGGGGCTTTGCCCAACTCTTCTAAACGCAGTCAAAAAGCTTTTAAAGCTGTGCATTTGAAAGTGCGTCAAGCGCTTGGGCACTAATCCATTTCATTGGCCAAAATATTCATTTCTTTTGGCCATTAAAAGGAATGAATACTCAAAAGCTTAATGTCCCTACGGACTCCCTTTGACGAGTTTAGGTGCATCAAGTGTTTTTTTCTTTGCCAATTTATTAAAATAATATCTAACAATTTAATAAAATAAAAACCATTCTATACTAACCTGCTCTGTGCAATGGTATTGCACAGCGCAGTCCCAAACCTCCTCTTCTGGGGTCCCCCGCTTGCGATCTTGGCTCCTTCTCTTCTGTTCTGTGTCTGCCACCATAGCAAGCCCTTTGCTAGAGGGGGAAACACATGGGCTTGCTCTTTAGCTCCATCTCCTTGTTCCCTCCTCACAGGATTTTATTGGCAACAGCAGGAGCCAATGGCCTTCGCGGCTACCTTTGTGCCTGTGAAGAGAGGAATACAGACAAGTGCCACTGAGGATGGGCACAATGGCTGGATAAAGATATGTAAGTATAAGGGGGCTGAGGGGGCGACACAACTACTGGAACATTTTTTTGCGTTAATGCAAGGAATGCATTTAGATGAAAAAGGTTTTGGTTTTATAACCACTTTATTTTAACAAAAATTCTATGACTAATTTGTATGCATAAATATTTTTAGACTTTTTTAAGGACCTATAAGGATGTTTGGTACCCTGTTTTTAACCGCTTCCCAGAAATATTGCTACAGTGGCGGCGGCACGGGTACGCAAAATCACGTGTATATATACGTGATTTTGCAGTTCCAGGTATGGAGCGTGCGCAATACAATACAGTTCTCTCCCCTGTCAGCTCCTGCACTCTGCTTTGTATGGCTCTGCATAGCAGAGCCATACAAAGCAGTGTGCATACAGTAAAGCACACACACAGCACATAATGTGAAACAGCACACAGTTAACCCTTTGGTCGCCCCATATGTTAACCCCTTCCTGCCCAGTGCCATTAGTACAGTGTCAGTGCTTTTAATTAGCACTGATCACTGTATTGGTGTCACTGCGGATGTCAGTGACACCAAGTCAGTTCCCCCCAGTGTCAGAATGCCCACCGCAGTCCCGCAGTAATGCTATAAGCTGCTGATCGCCCACCATTACTAGTAAAAAAAAATTCCAGTATATATACCGCCATTTGTAAATGCTATTGGGATTTTTTTTTAGCAAAGACATGTAGCAGAATACATTTTGTCCTAAATTTATGAGGAAATTTGATGTTTAATAGCAAAAAGTCAATAATATTGTTTATTTCTAAAAACTGTCAGTCTTTTTTTTTTAAAGCGTAAAAAATAAAAAACGCACAGGCGATCAAATACCACTGAAAGAAAGCTCTATTCATGGAAAAAAAGGAGGTAAATTTGATTTGGGTGCAGCGTTGCATGACCACGCAATTGTCAGTTAAAGTAACGCAGCGCCGTATCGCAAAATATGGCCTGGTCAGGCAAAGGGGGTAAATCCTCTGGAGGGCAAGTGGTTAATAAAAGAAAAAAAAAAAACTGCTTTGTTTATTAGGCTATTCAATATGTAAAAATGTAAAAAAAAAAAAACAGTTTATTTTTTTTTCTATATTTTTTGATTCATTTGTTTTGATTATGTTTATATAGTGTAATTTAATCGCAACATTAAAGCTGAACTCCGGGAAGATTTCTAAGCTACCCATGCAATGGGGCTGCCCTGCACTGCAAGGGTTAAGGGCTTGTTTTTGTCTTGGGTACATTTAAATGCAGCTTTACTTTCTCTATCCTTTGCTCCCACAGGCTTTCTCCTCTCTGTGTGATAGGTCCTCTGAAGTCTTTTCTCTTTGACTTGCTGTTTGCACTCTGATATCATCACATGCATTGCAGAAACCAGCAATCCTACATTATAAGTAAAGGTTTGTTTACACTTGCTTCAAAATGTGGCATTGGACACGCTTTTTTAAAGAATTCTGAATGCCAATCAAAGCCTCTGTCACTAAATAAAATGGTAAGCTTACAATCCTGTTTACACATTGCTTTTGCTTTGCTTTTAAAACGATACCATGTCGCTTTCTTGGTGTCTCCAAAGGCACCATAAACGTCTATGACAAAGCTCACTAGCAGCACCTGCAGCTTTTGAGGGGCTTTTATTCAGCTTTAGCTTCACTTGCTTTGGAGGCATTGCAGGTATGAGATATCCCAGTAAGCACTGGGAAACCAATAAGCAAACCTTTCCAGATTTAAAGCTAATAAAACCACTGGTGGACTTTCAATGTCAAAATATGTGTTTACATAAATGTAGTGCTATCCCCTTGAGGGCTACTAGATTTTGCACGGTCCCCCTGCACAGCCAGGCAACACACATTTTCCACACTTTCTCTTCAGAGTCAGTAAAAACAGTCCTTGAGCTTGTTTTTGTTGTTTTTATTAGGGGTTAACAACATGGATGGGGTCTAGGATTATATAGGATGCCCAATGAACTGTAGAACTTTGAGAACACCTACTTAGCAACAAAATGTACAAAAATGTGGACAGAAATCAGCAACAGTCTTAATAAGGAGCACTTTGGTGAACCTCTTCTGACCTCAGATGAAGCTCTCCTCATCAGGCTGTCCTGAGGATATACCTGGGCAAGGGATTCCAAGAACAACCCTGGAGTAGTCCTAGATGAGAACTAGTTAGGTATTGCACCTGACCGCCCTTTCCCTTCTGTAGCACAAGGGGTGTGGAGATACTCACAATGTCCTCTCCTGTAGCTTAATGGATTGCAGATGCTTTCAGGCCCTACGCTGGGCTGGCTCCTTCCCTTCTGTGGCCCAAGGGGTGTAGAGGTACTCACACTGTCCTCTCCTGTAGCTTAATGGGTTGCAGATGCTTTCAGGCCTTACGCTGGGCTGGCTCCTTCCCTTCTAACAGGTTGTCTCTCCCAAGTAGACTGTAGGGCAGTGCAGATCCTTCTGTCCCACTCCAGCCTGTAGGTAGGCACCCCTCCGCTGGGACCCCCTCCCAGGCTGCACACCAGCACCTTCCTTCAATCCATCTTTCACCTGATTCCCCTGCTGACAAGGCTCTCCACATTTAAGGGCTGTCCTAGCCACCATGTCAGGTCTCCTGCCTGGGGACTGGCCAGTTTCCTTCAAACGTGCAAATTCAGGCCTCCTCCCCTCCTCTGCCCCTCTTCTAAAAGCAGTTTCTAAAAGGGTAGGAGGGCTCCAGAAGCCCTGACCTGTAAAGTTTCCCAGCAAGACCTGAGGTAACCTTACTGCCTCACTCCCAGGCTGACTCATTCCAGGCTTCTAACAAGCCACTGACTAACCAAAAAAACCTACCTACCTAAAGGGTGCTACATAAAAGGCTATTCTGTCTGTGTATTCTGTCTCCCTTTTCACTGAATAACAGGCTATGCTTTCAGAAGCAACATAACATATACATTATATTTCCAAGGATATTGGCACACCCATCCAAATCATTGGATTCAGGTGTTCCAATCACTTTCATGGCCACAGGTGTATAAAATCAAGCACCTAGGCATGCAGACTGCTTCTACAAACATGTATGAAAAAAATGGGTCGCTCTCAGGAGCTCAGTGAAATCAACTGTGGTACGTGATAGGTTGCCACTTGTGCAATAAGTCCATGCATGAAATTGTCTTGCTACTAAATATTCCATGGTGAACTGTTAGTGAAACTATAACAAAGTAAAAGCAACTGGGAACAACAGTAACTCAGCCATGAAGTGATAGGCCATGTAAAATGACAGAGCAGGGTCAACGCATGCTGAAGCACACAGTGCACAGAAGTCGCCAACTGTCTGCAGAGTCAACAGCTAAAGACCTCCAAACTTCATGCGATCTTTAGATTAGCACAACAACAGTGAACTACATGGAGTGGGTTTCCATGGCCAAGCAGCTGCATCCAAGCCTTACATCACCAAGAGCAATGCAAAACGTCAAATGCAGTGGTGTAAAGCACGCCATCACTGGATTCTAAAGCAGTGGAGACATGTTTCTGGAGTGATGAATCACGCCTTCTCTGTCTGGTAATCCGATGGACGTGTTTGGGTTTGATGGTTGCCAAGAGAACGGTACTTGCCTGACTGCATTGTGCCAAATGTAAAGTTTGGTGGAGGGGGGAATATGGTGTGGGGTTGTTTTTCAGGGGTTGGGTTTGGCCCCTTAGTTCCAGTCAAGGGAACTCTTAAGGCGTCAGCATACCAAGACGTTTTGGACAATTTCATGTTCCCAACTTTTTGGAAACAGTTTGGGAATGGCCCCTTCCTGTTCCAACATGACTGCACAGCAGTACACAAAGCAAGGTCCATAAAGACACGGATGAGCGGTTTGGGGTGGAGGACCTTGACTGGCCTCACCTCAACCCGATAGAACACCTTTGGGATGAATTAGAGAGGAGACTGCGAGCCAGGCCTTATCGTCTGACATCAGTGCCTGACCTCACAAATGTGCTTCTAGAAGAATGGTCAAACATTCCCATAGACACACTCCTAAACCTTGTGCACAGCCTTCCCAGAAGAGTTGAAGCTGTTATAGCTGCAAAGGGCGGGGGCCAACTCAATATTGAACCCTACGGACTAAACCTGGGATGCCATTAAAGTTCATGTGTGTGTAAAGGCAGGCATCCCAAAACTTTTGGCAGTATAGTTCATTTCTAGCTCATACACTATATGGTTAAAGGTTTGTGGACACCTGACCATAAAAACTAGATGAGCTTTTTAGACTTCCTATTCCAAATCCATAGGCATGTTGCTACTAACGCATCCCCCCAATTTGTGGCTATAACAGCCTCTATTCTTCTGGAAAGGTTTTGCATGAGATTTTAGAGTGTTTTTTCCAATATTGTGCAATAACAGCTGGCTCTCAGAAAGACAACATCAGCAGTCACTTCCAGTTCATGTGTATATATTCTGGAAGTGTCTGGTGCAGATGTCTGGTGCGATAGGTACTTTAATGTGTTTTGAAGTTGAAGCAAGTGTAAATGAGCCCTAAGAGTGCAGAAGGCCCACCCAAACCCACAGCATCAGAAAAAAGAGGAAAGCACTGGCTGCTGGGGGAGCTACGGATAACGTATGTAAAGTTGCTTTTTAAAGGTGTCCTATACAAACATTTTCCCTCAACTTGAGGTTTAGGATTCACATGAGCACTAAGCCCTATGCAGCTTGAAGAGCCATTTGTTAATAAACAAAGTGCACAAATGGCTCTTTGCCTTGCTTAGGGTTTAGTGCCCCTGTGAATGAGTCCTTAAACATATAGTACTGCAAATACACGTTGCAGCCAGAAGGTGGTAGCATTCATTTGCAGGCTAGGGGCCTTCATTTTTTTTCAGTGAAGCCTCCATCCTACATGTGATTGCTATATCATGGCTGACATCAAGAACACATGATCAGAAACCATAGTGATTGGTTTCCAAACATCAGTGGGGACCCAAACTGTCAGTGACAGCCTAGATGGAGAGTCACCAGTGGCCACTAAAGTGTTAGGTGGTGGTTCTCCAAGGGGAGAAGTTTTCTAAATATATCCCCAACATGGGCCAACCTGTTTGGCTAAGGTTATGTACTGTTGGAGGGAGGAAGGGGTCAAATCCTTACAGCATAGGAAGGAATGAGTGGCATAGTTTTCTAATGCACATGCGCTTAAAGCCCGGCTCCAGCTAAAATGTTTTGTAGTTTTGGATAGAGTAGTAAAGAGTCACATTTCTACTGATGCCCTAACACCAGAGGCACTCTATTATGGATAATGTAATTGTGTACTTGTGAGAAGGGTTCAGCGTTTTGTGCTGGTGGCAGAGATCACATGGAGGCCAAGTAATACAAACTGTATATTGTATAGGTTCCAATTGGGAACAAGCAGGCCTGGCGGATGCACACGGCCTCCCAGAGCCACGTACGGGATGCACAGCAGCGATTCTTTAGCTTAAGCAATGCTATGAGCTTCTGCAACGCAGAGCAGGAATACAGACTGGCTAGTCCTAGCCTAATGGGAGGCTTCCTTAGAGACGATAGCATAGTCCCTTTGCTTTCCCTACTATCCTAACCTTTCCCTGACACTCAGCACTGTCCCTTTCAGACAGGGAACCTGTCCCTACACTACTCAATTGCACA